GTAAACTCCCGCGTTTCCCATTTTTCTGTACTTTTCTGAAACCGTCCTCTCGGTTTGTTCCTCTTTCAATATGATTCATGAATCGGACCATGATTTTTCTGAATTCAGATTTAATCTGTATGTTCTTTTTGCCTTACAAGATGATTTAATCTGAATTGAGATTTAATCTGTATGTTCCTCTTTCAAGATGATTCCGCTTCTCAATTGAACTTTTGAGTTAATTGTTTTTTTTCCGGGCAGTAAGCACTGTCCATGCTTTTGGGTAAATGTTTTTTTTATCCCCAGTACGAGACCTCCCTGCAACTCCTTTCCATGGTTGCCATGGCTGCCAATGCACATTAGTCGGTCAATTTTCCACGTTTAATTGACAGAATTACCTCAATTGAACTTTTTAATCTGTATGTTTTTTGCCTTATAATTCGTGCTCTTCCTTTTTAATCCACTTCCCAATTGAACTTTTCAGCTAATTGTTATTTTTGGGCCGGTACGAGACCTTCCTGCAACGCCGTTCCATGGTTGCCATGGCTGCTCAAGACCCAAAGTCGGTCAATTTTCCACATTTAATTGACAGAATTACCTCATCAAACAAAATAGCTCATGACATTTATGAGGGCATTATTATAAAACTGCCTATGCCTTTGAATATTCTCGTTTTTCAACTCTTGTGCTTCTTCGTTCTCACTCCGGGTATTCACTTGGAATGTAATTTGAAATTTCATACAACTTTTTTTTGCTTAAAATACTGTTTATGTTGATCATTTTTATTCGTAATTTCTGATTGGATTGAACATAATTAGTGCGGCCAGGTCAAAAGTGCCCTCACCAAACGAACCAAATCATGTTTTTTCAAAACCGTCCTCTCGGTTTGTTCCTCTTTCAAGATGATTCATGAATCGGACCATGATTTTTCTGAATTCAGATTTAATCTGTATGTTCTTTATGCCTTACAAGATGATTTAATCTGAAGTGAGATTTAATCTGTATGTTCCTCTTTCAAGATGATTCCGCTTCTCAATTGAACTTTTGAGTTAATTGTTTTTTTCCGGGCAGTAAGCACTGTCCATGCTTTTGGGTAAATGTTTTTTTTATCCCCAGTACGAGACCTCCCTGCAACTCCTTTCCATGGTTGCCATGGCTGCCAATGCACATTAGTCGGTCAATTTTCCACGTTTAATTGACAGAATTACCCTCATCAAACAAAGCAACTCATGATATTTATGAGGGCATTATTGTAAAACTGCCTATACCCCTTCTCAGTCTGGGTATTCACTTCGTATGGAATTTGAAATTTCATACAACTTTTTTCTACTCAAACTACTGTTTATGTTGATCATTTTTATTCGCAATTTCTGATTGGATTGAACAAAATTAATGCGGACAGGCCAAAGGTGCCCTCATCAAACGAACCAAATCATGTTATTTCTTAGGTTTGTTCTAGATGCTGCGTCGGACAATTTCAGATACTTTTTGTATCTTTCTGACTAAATTGATCTATGTCTGTTCCTTAGGGAATATGAGTATTCTTTGCAACTCCTATTTGCCTAGATTATTCTTCTTTTTCCCCTCTTCTGCTTCTCCATTCTCTCTCTTCCGCTTCTCCATTTCTAGTTTATGCACCAGCTTACCATCCTTTCTGAATTAGGGTTATTACTCTTGTATTTATTGTTTTCGAATGTCCTTGTGGTAGAAACTGCCTCCCTCTGATGACATTTCTTTTTCCACCCTTCTGCTCTCCACGCCTACACCCTACTTGATTAGAAACCTCATTTCTATATTGTATTACTAATTGGATGGATGGAGAAGATGAGCATGACATTCTTTGTATTACCAATCCATCAAGTCCCTTGATAGGGGAATATTATAGGAACACTTGGAAAGTGACTATAATAAATTATATAAAGGGTGGATTTTTAGGTTTTGTTTGAATTGTATTTCATGCTTGTAACAATGTACATGAGACAAATATATAGATGTTGAGAGAGAGGCAACAATGTTACACATAACCTCACCCTTTTAGTTAGGCCCTGAATAGTTCCCTTAGCCTCTTGCAAGTGAGAGGTCTTAGGTTCAAATCTCTTAGATGACAAATTTGAAACCAAATTAGGTTGCCCATTATTGAAACAAACCGATTACTAATTGCTTGTATATGTCACAAGTATGGTTGTAAACATCACTCTAGCTAAGTCATGGCTTAAAGTGATTTTATCAACCATACTCTTGTCTTCCATACCTTGTCACTCACTTAGGTCTTTTGTTAATCTTTCTTCCTTGTTTCTAGGAACCACTTACTTGTTATTAATATTTGTCTTGTCCACTTGGTAGTGAGGTATGGCTGTTAGCCTTCCTCTTCTATCCTTCTTTTCGGCTCTCTATAAGAGTTGCCTTTTTACTCTTGTAAATAACATAATGAGAAATACAATACAAGATTTGAAACCAAAATTTAACATGGTATCAAAGTAGGAACCATAGGGTCGTCTTGACTTTGTCCATTTTTTTCTTACTTCTTTTTCTTCTTCATTTGCTCATCATTGAAATAAATGGCAGAAGAAAATGTCTTTAGTGCTAATAGCTCCTCATCTTCACCCTCTAACGTAATTCAAGGAGGTGAGAACAACCCAAATCAACGACTGTGCTCGGTGCTACTGAATGAGTTCAACCATCTACCTTGGTCAAGAGCTGTGTCAGTTGCTATAGGAGGAAGCTCGAAGTCTCCAAAATCCACTTCATCAACCTATGATGCATGACACGATACTGACTAGCTGGTCATGTCCTGGATACTTAACAACATGGAGCCAAAGTTGTCTGAGCTCTTCTGTGACATCCCACATCGCCCAAGGGAGTGATCCTTAAATGTATATTCCCATCCCTACCTAGCACGAGGCCTTTTGGGAGCTCACTGGCTTCGGGTTCCGTAGGAACTCCGAAGTTAAGCGACAAGAGGGCTAGAGCAATCCCATGATGGGTGACTCACTGGGAAGTTGCTCGTGAGTTCCCAAAAACAAAACCGTGAGGGAATGGTAAGCCCAAAGCGGACAATATCGTGCTACGGTGGTGGAACGGGCCCGGGAAGTGATCCAGAAAGTCCACTTGGACCCTGAATCGAGCTGTGCTGGCCGATACCTGGAAGGTGACGAAGCCACAAAATGTGATGGTGTATAAAAAGTGAATACATTTGAATCTAAAAGTGTCTAAGTACCAGAGTGCGCTACGAGTGGGAGCGAACCCATTTCACACGCGATGTCAGAGCATAAGTAAGGTACAATAGTGTGGGTAAGAATCATACCCTTAAAAGTAGCCACCAATACTAAGATTAGCTATATATCATCGCCGATACGAACTCAGCAGTTAAAACCTGAAGGGGTACAAAACAGAAAGTGTGAGTAAGCAGTAAAACCAAGCTTCCCAAAACTATTACCTTTCTAACAGTTATAACCCCTCACTGTAATTCCCTTATCGTTTTCTATAGGACAGTACAACATATATACATATATCCAAACCATACTCAAAAATGACCAAAACTACGGTTTGCCATCAACTCTACCATACATTAATAAGTAGGCCAAATGAATTTAATCAATACAAAGTGATATATCAGTCAGAGTCATCTAAAATGACATGTACAACTTATCCATATCTCATCAATCATGGCTAGCATATAAGTCGGAGTCACCTATAGTGACCTGTACGACTTATCCATATCTCATCAATCATGGCTAGCAAATAACTCAATAAGTATACCTGCACACGAGTCGGAACCACGTAAAGTGGTCTGTATGACAGGACTGGGTGTAAATAAATACGCTCAAGTGCTACGATCACATGAAGACTCTGCGAATAATCGCGGGTCACCTATGAGTCTGAACCATCTAAAGTGGTCTGTACGACAGGACTGTGCACCTACCTTGGATCCAAGGTGAGCGTAAGGTGCAGGAGGTGAACATCACGTGAAGGACTATGGCCTGGCCACGGGCGGGAGCACTAACACCGGGGTGCAGGTTTATGAGCTCTCAATGCATCTCAATATAACATGTGCAACTCATGGCAACCAGTACGACAGTATCGAAGTTGCCTAACACATAACTGTACTCATGCTATAACTCAATCGATTCAACTAATACCATAAACTCACCTGAACTTACCTAGGTGTCCTGAGTTCACCTTTGCACTTGAAAGCATTCCCAATAATTATATGCAAGTAATATACATATGGATATACCATGATGCAATCTAATACTCAACCATGTCGTAGCATTTTCAATTATAAACAATACGGTGAGAAGTGTACAATCAATAACGCCCTACTCCCAAACTACTTCTTTTCAGGGATAATTATCCATGACAACCCAATTAACACTAATTTAACTAACTAATTCATAAAACTAAAACTTGCCTTTACCAATTTCCTTCGCATTACTCAATTTCCCAAGCAAGGCTTTTGTCTCAAATATTTTATGGCTGCATCTAACGTCTCGTTAGACTGCCTACGTACCCTAAACAGGGATCAAGCCATTCGTAGTTCATATAGGTACTTCAAGCATTCACAATAATTATATGAAGGTAATATACCTAATCAATTTAAAAGTGTCCATAGAACTCTCAACAATATGTACGATAAAAAGGAAAAGATCCACTCACCTGGAGTCCACGCTATGATTCTCTAGCGCACACATCGAGGTGTCCTGAGTGATTGGTCCCTGTGACCAATTATCAAATCACATCTCATAACTCTTATCCGAAGAATACGTAATTCACATAAAACACAACCTCAACGACATTCTAAAATAGTTTGAGACCCATTGACCACAAGTCAACAGTCGATCAAAGATCGACGGTAGGGTTTACAACCCTGTATAACTTGACCCGGAAGATCCGTATATCCGATTTCCAATCCGCAACTCCCAACGATCCACAATATGTTTCTAGAATAACATATTAAAATTTCATTACGATCCAACGGTCAGATCTCCGCCAATTGCCTAAAACAAGTGGTCGTGAACATT